CGGCGGAGCAACCGCCTGGAGGGTCCCTGTGCCTGTTCTGTCTTTAGACATGGAAGCTCCTGCAGCCCCGGGCGACTGCCTTTCCCCTCTGAGGAGCCTCCAGAGCTGGGGAGGGGCGGTAGAGAGGTCCCCTCTGTGTTCCCCCCGGCAGTGCTGTCCCTTCTGCCTTCCCAGGAGAGGTGTAAAGATGGCTTACACCCACGAGGCTGTTCAGGCAGCTCTGCGAGGCCGCTGACAACCCCCTTTCCCTTGGCACTTCCCTCTGTAGTGTTACCCAACAAAAAAGGGGTTAACTTGGACCACTGCCAAGGAGAGCCTTTGGGAGGCAGCGATGGCAAGAAATAAGTGTTCCATCCCTGCCCCGGGGTGTTTCCCTTTTTGCTTTCAGAAGCTGCAGCACGTACAGGTGCACACGTGCTGTCCGGTCCCCTTTCGTTCTGCTCAACATCAGCTGGTCGTGTGTCCTGTTCACCTCCTCCAGATGTCTGTCACGACTGGAGGCCCTCTGCCAGCCTGACACTGGCTTTGTCGGAACCTGGGATCACTCTCTTCTGTCCTTGGGGAAAGTTCAGGCTTTGAGTATATGCAGGCTGCTGCTCCACTGAGTGGTTTCCACTGTCTAACTCGGAAATGTTTACTGGGCTCTGTCTTCATGTCTTATTTCTGTGGCTTAGGCTGCTAGTAAGAAACTAAGTGCCTTGCTTATCTTAGAATATAAATTACACAAATACATCAAATATGTCTTGTGACATCTACCATCAGTTATTATTGAACATTTAATGGAAAAAAGTAATTCCTGTGGGGTTTTTATTGTAGTTGTGTGTAATGTCTAAAACTAGTGTATTCAAATCCATTTTTCGTGATACTCTGGTTTGGTCTTTTCCCTATGTCATGAAGCTTGTACATGGATCCTGCAGTTACAGGATTAAATAGTTGCTGCCAGCATGGAGTTCTTTTAATCCTATGTACCCCATATGGTTCTACAAACCCAAAGTGATTTGTTGTAACTATTTAGGGGCTTCCTTAAATCTTTTATTTAATAATGTCTGTGAGAGATGGGAGATAAAAATACTTTTTCCACTGTAGGAAACTAATTATAGAAGAGTTCATATCTCCTATTTATTTTTAAGTCATTGTGGAAGACTTAATACTCAAGTCAATTATGGCAGCTTGCTCTTGAATAGCTAGATATAGATATGTAGAGAAGGTATTTCATTTTATGCCTTAAAGCATCCTTTGAAGCTAGAGATGCTTCATTTTCTAATGGAGAAAATAAGGTATGGAGTGCCCATTATTGCATGGAAAATTTTTGAGCCAGAGGTAGAGTTAATAATTTAGTACTCTTAAGCAAAATGGAAAGGGGACTTGCAATTTTGGTTTCTTTCTTAATTGTCTAATTTTTCTTCATCATAATGTATAGATTGGAATCATGCTGCTTTTTTTTTTTTTCTTTTTTAATTATATTGGGGTTTGTTTCATTTCTAGGTTAAAGTGAAAATACCTTTTGGAAACAAATACCTTGATGCTGTCTTTTCTGTCCCAGAGAAGAAATCAACATATGGAGTGATTCTTACCCATGGAGCTGGAGGAGATATGAATTTCCCTCACTTAGTGTCTTTGGCAGCCTATCTTGCATGCCATGGAGTTCTGTGCCTGCGGTTTACTTGTAAAGGCCTTAACATTGCTTATAGGACTAAGGCCTTCAAAACAGTTGTGGTAAGAAATGACCAAATTCTGCCAAAGCTTAGATCCATGGGTGTTGTCTTCTGGGTTTCTTAAATTATGTCCAGAGATTAGTCAAGCAACAGTTGGAAAATTAGAAGTGATGTTAGCTAGATGGAGCACTGTCTGTGAACAGAAACAACAGGAGCAATTTTTGTATGGGTGGTAGCTGGAACAGCTGCAGCAAGTATGTGGGTTTGAGTTCAGGGAGAGAAAGAAAAGCTTGAGAAAAGGATGTGAAGAAAGCAAGGGTCTGTTGTGGGAAAACTTACAGCTTGAAAAAAATGGAAATATTTAGGATGGAAACAAGACGTAGGTGTTCAGGGAGGGCTTGGGGAGGGGGATTAAGGGATACAGCATTTGGAGCAGTTTTGAGAGGAAAGAAGCTGAGCTGGGAATTGGGCTGGGTCTCTGAGGGTTGGCAGCTGGGAGAACAAGACTTTGGGGAAAGAGCAAGGGACTCTCGGTTGCAGGAGGAGTTGAAGCAGAAGAGATTTGGAGCAGCATATGAGAGCCTTAGAACCTAAATAGTCTTTGATTTCAATGTGTTTCTGCTGCTGCGACATTAATTAAAATGTTCTTGTGTACCTAGATTTCATTAAAATGAGCAACCTTTTGTTACAGTATCTTTCCATTCTGGAGCGCGTAGGAAGGAGTGGAAATTTTCTTCTGATTACCCAGCTACTTTTACTGGGGCATGGGAAGGTAGCATGAGCACTTTGCACTGAGCATCAGATATTTTTATAGGGGAACTAAGTCCAGTTCTGAAGGAATTCATTTGTATGATGTCTTTATGATTATATGTACATTAATTCGAAATTAGACTTTGCTAGCTTTAATGTGGATATGCTCTCTGTTCTTTTTTGTAGAAGCATAATGTTGTTAGTGAGTTTATATTAATATATTGCTGTGTAAAGGTAATTTAAAGGCCTCTGCTAAGATAGCATCTGATTAGTTGTCTCCTAAAAACTGAAAAATCTGTTGCTGAATCTTATCTTTTGTCAGACATAACTGATTGTGTCTTGAACTTTTATTTGGAAATACTTGATCTCAGTGAAGGGCGTTTTTGCTACTTTGTTTTGCTTTTTCATGGGCCAAGAGTGTGCATGCGGTCTGTTACTATAACTAAGTTAGAATCATAGAATCATAGAATGGTTAGGGCTGGAAGAGACCTTCAAAGGTCATCTAGTCCAACCCCCCTGCAAGGAACAGGGAAAAAAAAGTTGATATACAATAATCATTTACGTTTTGGTCACTTGATAGGGCATCTGATATTTTAGACTTGCTGAGAGCTAATGTGAAATTACTTAATGTTTATTATGTTGCTTTGTTGCTGCAAAATGTTATGAAAGCATTTGTGTGAAAAAACAAGAGAGTACCTGCTATGTATCTGTTCTTTGTTAAATCTGCAGTGCTGAAAGAGCTTCCTGTTTTGTGTTTAGTAGCTACAAACAAAAAAGTCCCCAGTCTCTCAGCTGTCTTAATTCTGACTTGTAATGTTTCTCTTTATCTTATTTCTTTAGGAATACTTAAAGCTTTCTGATGATTATAAACTTTCGGGTGTCTTCCTTGCAGGTATTGTTTTAGTATCCATAATTTTCTTTCTCATACTGCCTCTAACGTTACCAGCCTGTAATTACTCCGGTTTTCAACTCTCCCACTTTGGTAAGACGTGAATGAACAGATGTGGATGACAGGTTTCAGTCTGAGGTGGGCACTGAAAGCTTGCTGTCTAATGTGGGAACAAGCTGAATGAACTCTGACTAGTCAGTATTTCCTGGGGAGAGCAATCCAGCTCTCTGCTGGGAGCTACCTCCTTGTAGGTGGTGGGTGTGTGGGGCGGGCGTGCAGCTCGGCTCTCTCATGGCTGGTGTGAGCAGCGCCGCTGCTCAGGTCGCAAATGGGACATCCAGCCTGCAGCTGTCACCAGATTCTCTCGGGAGCATGGCTGTCGAGACCTCTTCACCTTCCTCATGGTGCCACAGATCTCGCTCCAGAAGGAGGAAGGAAATAGATAGATAGACCATGTTTTCCAAGTACTTTGGGAGAAAATGTCCTTGTCACTTTTAAGTGACAGGGCACAAGTTCTCTGATAGTCCATGTGTACTTTTTAACTGTGGGTCATGAAGAATTCTGGTTACTGGTAAATGGCAAACCATTTTCCCAAAGCAGCTTTTGGTAGATAAAACCTAGTGGCAGATAGAAAATGAGTAATATTATGTGGAAAAGGGAAGTAGATGGGTGTGATTAGGAATAACTTGATACGGGAAACCCTGAATGCTCTCTGACTAAGCGAAACCAAATCTGCGTTGATGCAAGCTAATCCCACTGGAATCAGCCACTTCTAACGCTCCATTACAGAGCATTGTCAGCTCATGTGCTTCTTCTTTGAGGAGATACTTTGATACACTCTTGCTGTTACTGACTGACCTCAGGCTACAAGTTCACAGTTTATTTTTTTTTTCCCCTCTACTTTTACTTTTAGGCTGAAGTTTGAGGTGAGCATAAACACTTACTGGATTTGTTTTGGGAGTAAGGAGTGTAAAATTTTGGTTTTAATTTGAGCACATTAAGGTTGCATGAAAAAAAAAAAGACAGTAATAATATTGGTATCTGGAATTTTGAGGGTCTGGAGCATAGGACCTTCCTCCAGGATGGGCTGTTGTTACTTCTAGTATTGCAAAGGATCCCTTTCCATTTTTTTTTCCTTTTTTAAGTGGGGATGTGAAATCATAATATAACCAGACAAATATTTTAGCAGAAAATATTGAAATTAGGATTATTATTTTTCACAAAGCAGATGAATGAAAGCATCCCTGCCATTTTGTACTATTTAGTGTTATGTTGAAATACACTCAGTTGGATTGGTTTTAGGAGTTGTTTACTTGAACACGATGTAGATGATGTGACAGCAGATACACTTTTTTCCTTTATTTTAACATGGGAGAAAGGCCGTTCCATGGGCTCACGAGCTGCTGCCTCTGTGATACGTCACCTTAGCCAGGAGGATGATGATGACTTCATTCAAGGTCTAGTATGTTTATCTTACCCGTTGCATCGACCAAACCTTCAGTCCAAGCTCCGGGATGAAGATTTATTATTTATCAGGTGCCCGGTGCTGTTTGTCTCAGGATCAGCAGATGAGATGTGTGAAAAAGTGAGTACCCCATAAATC